TCTGCCAGCGCCCCACCCAACCACACCCCCCCTCCCCCCCCTCCACCCACCCACACATCCACCCATCCACCCCGGCCCTGCCTGCCTGCCGCGCAGGTGCGGGAGCGCGCGGCGGCGGTGGGTGTGTCTGTGGCGGGCGAGAATGCGCTGCCCTGCTTCATGCCCAACATCATCGACGAAACCGCGCTGCACAGAATCGTGTACAACACGCAGGTGTGTGGGTGTGTGGGGGGGTGGGGGGGCTGGAGTTGTTGTGGTGGCTGCTGTTTGTGTGTGGCGATGGGAGAAAGAGGGTTTGTTTGTGTCCGGCGCTGGCACATGCCATGGCGAGCCGCGGAGGCGGGCGGGGGGCTGAGGGTTTGAGTGCCCGCCTGCTGCCCGCCTGCTGCGCACCGCCCCACCCTCCTCATCCTCCCCGCCCCCCTTGCCCTGCCACCCTGCAGCCCTGGGGCACCCCGCTGCAAACGGGGGCGGGCTCCAGCGGCCTCGACCCCGCCGGCCCTGCGGCAGCCGCCCAAGCTGCAGCCGCCGCGGTGTCGCTGGGTGCGGCGCAGGCGGCACAGGCGGCACAGGCTGCGGCTGCCGCCGGCTCTGGGGCGGTGGCAGCCATGGATACGGGCAGCGGCGGCAGCAGCCCCGTAGTGCCCAGCCCCGGCAGCAGCACCGACAGCCCCACCGCCAACGGCGGCGGCCGCGACGCGGCGGGCGCGCGGGTGAGCGAGCGGCCTCGTGCCTTGTGCTGGGCTGAGCCGCGGTGGGGCCTGCGTGGCCGCACGCTCCTGCTGCCGCAGGGCAGCGTGGCTGGTGCAGCCGAGCTGTGCATGCCGGCAGCTGAGCCCCACCTCCTGCCCTGCCCTGCCCTGCCCTCTGCGTGTGCGTGCGTGTGCAGCTGCCCCCCATGCGCGCCTTCACCTTCCTGCGCCTCACCGACATGATGATGACCGAGGTGTGTGGGGTGGGCCTCGTGTGTGTGTGGGGGGGGGGTCAGTGGTGCTCCATCCATCCCCTCGCTCCATCCATCCCCCTCCATCCCCACGTGTCCCCACCCCTACTCCCCACCCCCCACCCACCCTCGCACACCTGTTTCCTGCCTGCAGGACTACCAGCAGTCGTGGGGGCGCTTCATGCGCCTCATGGCCTCCAACGCCCAGCGCTTCCGCTCCTCGGCAGCCTGGCGCCGCGGCATGGGCTTCGAGTGAGGGCAGCCAGGCAGTCAGCGCTCTGCCTGCAGCCCAGCGCAGGCCCCCCCAGGCCTTGCGCCAGTTGTCGCGCAGGGGGAGCGGGGCGCTGCTTCCGGCTGCGGCCGTTCGGGGCCAGCAACCGCAGCGGCAGCCTCAGCGGCAGCCTCAGCGGCAGCGGCGCCCCGGTGCCTGCCGGCCGCATCCCCGCCACACCCCTCCCAAGTTGTGTTTCGCCCGGCGGCGGCAGCCCCAGCATGACACGGCAGGCGGGGCCCACATGCCTCGCTCTGCCCCGCACAGCTGCCCGCCCCAGGCCACCCTCCGTCGTCCCGTCCGTCCCCAGTCCTTGCGCCGTGCATCGTGGCGCCTCGTGCTGTGTTGTTGTAGCCTCCCAAGCTCCCCTCCTGCCCACCCTGCAAGGCCTCCCTGCCCTGCCGTGCCCGCTGCTCTCCCCTGTACCCGCCAGAGCAGCTTGCGCTGGCACCCCAGGCGGGAGTTTTTCCCTTCAGAGATCTTTCCTCCCGTCCCGTCCCCCCCTTTTTGGGGCCGCCGCCCGCCCCCTTCCCAGTTTTTTTCGCGTGCTCCGGCGTGGCAACGCGGCCAGTTGCTTCCCCCAGGCGTGGCGGGCGTGCCGACATGCCCTGCTCTAGCCCCAGTTTTTTAGCTCCCGCTTTCCCGGTGTGCGGCGCAGAGCCCCAATCCTGTAGCGACTCTGTGTGTCCCGCCTCCTCTCCCTGTAAGGCCAGGCGACACGCCGTTGGTGCGGGCAGCACCAAAGCAGTGCTCCGTTCCAGCCCTCCAGCCTGGCCAGCCCCTATGTTGCAGCAGCGATATGCCGCAGCAGCGGGTGCACCTGCGTCGGTGTATTGCAGAGGCAGGGCTGCACCAAAAGGCAGGGCTGCACCAAAAGGGGGCCAACAGCGCGGTCCCGCCGCCGAGGCCGCCGCCGCCGGGGTGCCTACTCGCCTCCTCCGCCCGCCGGCGGCGGCTGCTGCATCTGGATCCCCGCATACCCGCCCGCCTCCTGCGCGCTGGGGCTGCGCCCGCGCTCGCTGCCCTGCCTGCCCCCAAACAGAGGCTTGAGGTACTCTTCGTCCAGAGCCTGAGGCGGGGAGGGGCAGGGAGGGCAGGGGGGGCAGGGGGCATGGGTAGTAGGTACGCAGGCGGGAGGGCAGCGGCAGGCAGAAGTGTGTGTGCATGCGACGTATGTGTGCATGTGACGATGCGGAGCGCGGCCGTGAAAGCACGCCGCTTCCGGCCAGGGATAAACGCAGAATGCAGGAAGGAAGGGAGGCAGAGAGCACCCCTGCGGTCTTGCCGGCCAGGCAGGCGGGCAGGAGCGCCACCCACCACCACCACCCACACACACACCACACACACACACGAACCTTGAACCAGTCGTGGAAGGCAGAGGGCTGCTCCAGCTTGATGCGGTTGGCGCCGCCCTGGCCGCCCCCGGCCATCGCGTCGCTGCAGGGCGGCGGCGGGGCGGCAGCAGGCAGGGCGGGGCGGGGCAGGGCAGGACACGGCGATGAGGTGGGTTTCCTTTCGCACCACGGGGGCTGGCTGGCTGGCTGGCTGGCTAGAGAGCGGCGCCCCTGCGGCGGCAGAAGCACCCCACCCCAGCCCCCAGCCACCCGCGGCCACCCACCCCAGCCCCTCCATGTCTGTCAGGCCATACAGCGCCGCATCGTCCTTGCCCTCCAGGTCGAAGTAGCGCAGCAGGGGGGCTGCACGCACACAAGTGCAGGCAGGGAGGCGTGTGTGTGTGTGTGTGTGTGTGTGTGGATGTGGTGGCGGATGTGGTGGGGGTGCTCTAGGGGGCAGGGCAGGCGGAGCTGGCAGCTCCAGCGCCACCCAGCGGTCGGCGGCTGCCTGCCCCCCAGGCACGCCACCCAAGCAAGCCGCCGAAGCAGGGTATCCTAGCAAGCACACTGGGCTTCACAAGGCCACACATACATCTGCATACATCTGCCTGCCTGCCCGCCCCACCTGTGGCGGACCCCAGGCCCAGCGTGGTCACCACCACAATCAGCAGCGCCGCCGTCTCGATGGCTGGGATGCCTGTCTGCCCGGGCTGGTCGGAGCGCGGCAGGTTGACGACTGCGGGCGGGGAGGGCAGGCAGGCAGGCCAGGGCAGGCCAGGGTGGGTTGCAGGCCAGAGCAGGGCACTGTGGGAACGCAGCGACATGAGTGCAGGCCGATGGCCCAGCCCAGCCTGTCGCCCCGCCCGCGGCAAGCGCCGCCGTCCCGCTGCCATCCACCCCAGCCTCCCAGAACAGCGCCGCTCGATCGCAGGCGGCAGCCACGGCCGGCCAGCCAGCCAGCCAGCCAGGCAGCCAGGCAGGAAGCCAGCCAGGCACTCACTGAGGCCGTAGGCCACCGCTCCTCGCAGCCCCACCGCCAGCAGCATCGCCTGCAGGTTGCGCGGCAGCTTGTGGGTACGCCACAGGTTGACCAGGCGCGAGCAGGCGCCGATGTTGGCGGCGCGGGAGGCGACAGCCAGCGGGATGCCCGACACCAGCAGCCCAAAGTCGAAGCCGTGCTTCATGGTGGCCACCTGGAGCGGGGCAGGCGGCAGGCGGCAGGCGGCGGCAGCGGTGGGAGCGGTGGGGAGCTTGTGAGGAGGAGAGGCGGGCGGGCGGGCCGGCCGGGCCCGAGCGGCCTTGCAGGCAGCGGGCCAGCCGGCAGTCGTTGCAAATTATGTGGCGGCCGCACGCATGCGCAGGCAGGCAGGTAGGCAGGCGTGCCCCTTCCGCCGCCGCAGGGCGTGCGCTGCCACACCATCAACCACCACCACCCCACCCTCCGCGCCATCACTGCCACCACCACACTGCGACTCGCACCCGCTCCGCCCCACCACACGCATACATGCATGCTGTGGCCAGCCCGCCCCCCCGCAGCCCACCTGCAGGCCCAGGTAGGCAAACACAAACATCTCGCACAGGAAGGCGGCAAACTCGAAGAAGTGGCGCAGAGTGATCTGCAGCGGGAGGCAGGGAGGGGGTGGCGGCGTGTGTGTGTACGGTGT